GGGGGGGGGGGTGTCGAGGGTCCTTCACCGGCCAGGCCCACGACCTGGGGCCACTCAGCCCAGCCGGGACCCCACGGTCCCCTCTTTGCTGATCACCCCACAGAAAGTCGCGGGGCGTTTACTCCCAGGCCAGGCGTGCTAATGGATCCCCGTTACCTTCTCGGGCTTCAAACACGAACACACCTGCTCACAGGGAGCCGAGCCAGCCGAGGGCCGTATCCTGTTTCTTCCCCGACTACCCACCCTGGGGTGAGCTCACTCCGAGGAGAAAGGGGAGGCCAGGCAGACCGGCCACGACCGCCGTTCCCCGTGCTGGCCACGCGCTGGCTGTTTGCAGTGCGACCAGTCACATGCAGACGGCGAGCAGGTGATGGCAACCGTGACACTCTGGCCGCGCCCTCCCTGGGGTCCTGGCTCTTAGGAGGCAGCAAAGTGAAAGCCAAGCGCGTGGGCCCCTCAGCTCTTCTCTTCGTGTGAATGTTAACTTCACAAACCACTACAAAAGTAGGACTGTTTTCATAGAATAAAATGCTTTGCTCTGATTTTTCTGTTACTTTTACATTTCACCAACATAACTGCCTTTTTTCTTTTCATTCTCACCCGAGGATATGTTTTTATTGATTTGAGAGAGAGGAAGGGAAAGAGAGACATCGACCAGCTGCCTCCCGCACGTGCCCCACCGAGGATCGACCCTGCAGCCCAGGAATGTGCCCCGACCAGGGGCAGAACCACGGTCCTTTGGTGGACGGGATGACGGGTGACGGATGACAGATGACGGATGACGGATGACGGGTGATGGGTGATGGATGACGGATGATGGGTGATGGATGATGGATGACGGATGACGATCGACCAGCCGAACCACCCGGCCACGGCAGTAATTGCCTTTTTTCAGTTAAATTGATTCTCATGAATTTGTCATCTTGACATATTTTAAGAGAAAATGAATAATGTCATTAAAGAGCTTGGCCATGGAGATCCTCAGGCACATGCTCACCCTTCCAGCATCACTAGGGTCCTTTTTGATGCAACGAAAAATATAGAGCATCCCCCCAAAATGTATGCAAACACTGAATAATTATATAGGCGGTGTTTACTAAAATACATTTCATTTTCAAAACTGAGCTATCAGCTGTTAAGGGATGTGTACGTTTTGGGGGGACACCCTGTACTTGTTAATAATAACTATCATGTTTTAATTAAAATTCCGTAAAACCTAGCGGAGGACACCAGGGGCAGTAAGGACTGTGGTCTTCGGTAAATGTTCCTCCTGGGCCTGTGCCGTCTCCAGATTTGTTTTAGTTGTGAACAGCCGTTCTGTGCACTGGTCCCGCTGAGGCAGCCGCAGCTGTGGACACAGCAAGACCCACGCCCCAAAGCTCGCTGTCTAGGAGGCTGCCCGCCGAGACTCTCCAGACCCGCGCCCACCGGTGACGGGCCCAGCGAACGCTCTCGGGGTCCACTCTCTGGCTGCCCCTCAGTCCCGCAGAGGTTGTAAAAGCAGGTTCCCCGTCACTGGGTTTGCTGCTGCCAAGAGCCCTGATCCCTCTGGGTTTTGTTTCCTGTGGGAATCGAGGGAGCGTAAGAGAGGAAAGGAGGAAACCTGGGGACAGCACCACTTAATTTAGAGAGGTTCTTTAAATGGGCAATAATGACAAGTTTCATTAAGAGGAAGAGATCAGGAGGCA